TTTCATTTTGAAATGTTATTTTAAATTATTCATTGGACAATAAAATAATCAGAATGGAAATTAGAAAATATTTTAACTTAATTATAGTGAAGACTAACTGGTTAGTGTTTTAACCTTTCTAAATGTAATTTTCATCCTTGAGTGCATTTATTAGAAAATATGCTTAAAAACTTAATGAGCTAAGCATTCAGTTTATGAAATAATAATAAACAACTCCCAACAACATAAATTCTAAAAACAATGGAAGTAATATAAAATTAATGTTAAAAAAGAAATTAACAAAGTGGAAAAAATGCTGTAAAGAGATTAAACAAGCCAATTTGGAAAGATGAGTTGGTAAATTTGGGGCAAAATCAATGATGATAAAGAGAAATAAAACAAATAATCAATACTTAAACTTGCATAAGGAAATCTCTCTAGAGAGAATACAAATAAAAGCAAATAAAAGGATATCTTGTATATTTTTATGTCAATAAATTAGAAACTAACTTCCCAGGTTTCATTCAAGTAGCCAAATGATACAGAGTGTTAAAAGGAAATTTGATTGTTAATAGCTTAAGATAAACCCTTATCCTATAGCACTATTGCATTTTAATTGTCTTGTCTATCCACTATTGCATTGTGCAAATTGGGTCTTATTGGTGTATTCTTAGAGCTTAGCTCAGAGCTCAGCTCACATAGTAGACAATAAATATTTCCAGAAGGGGAAAGGAAGGAAGGAAGAGGGGTAGGAAAAGAAAGGAGGAAGGAGAGGAAGGAAGAAAGGGAGGAATGGAGGAAATGGTAGGAGGGTAGAAGAGGAAAGGATGCATCAGGCAATGCAATAAGAGAGTGGTTCACAAATGCTTCCTGTAAAGGGTCAGGTAGTATATATTTTAGGACAATATGGTCTCTGTCCCATTTATTCAACTCTGCCTTTGCACCACAAAAATATATCACATTATAATAAATCTGTATTTTCTGAAATAGGGAGCTGGGTGGACTTGGCCATAGTTTTCTGGTCACTGCATTTGGGGCTTTACTTACATTATTTAATTAATTCTCACAATAACTGTGTGATCAATGCGCCCAAAACCAAAAGATTATATAATTTATCCCCAAACCAAAAAAACTAAGAGTGGTGAAGTTCAAGGCATGCTTAACTCTACAGAGAAGAGAAAATGAGAATCAGAATACTATTGACTATCTACTTTGCATCTCTTTATTATAAGTTAGAAATCTATAGATTAATAAAAATGTGCACAAGATTCGATAGATAGTATTTACTACTAATCTTAGTTCTTGTTAACTAAAGACCTCAAGTTCTTAACTATTGTCACATGAGTTTATTAAATTAATAACTTTCTCATTTCTGATTTTTCTGCTCTTTGTTGTGAAAGAGCTTTCATAACCATTAAAAAGTCTATTGTTCTTTATTTTGGTCCTCTGAATACAAAATACCAGCTAAATTAATGATTTCACTATCACAGGAAAGTAGGTAGTCATATATTGCTTAACCTTTATATGTATACAAAGCAAACAAATAAAAAATACCCACATATTATCAAGCATTCAGGAATAGGAATAAGCATAAAGAAAGAGTATACTATTTTATATAGGTTCAGAGATGTTTGTTTGTCAGATAAGAATCTTAGAGAAAGGGTTTGCATTTTTTAAAATTATAGTTATGTATCTATGCCAATGAATAAAAATTATATGGAAGTAGACACTGAATAAAGCTGAGAAGTATCTAAATAAAATGGCTGCTAAACATATCATTGTATGTTATACTCAATGTCTCAGGTTCAGCCTGTGAGTGAAGACATACATGTATTGGAGTTAATAGCTCAGTGACACAATATGAAGAGCAATTACTGTAAGAACTTATAAAGGACAGAGAACTGAATTTGACTTCTTAAACTTTTAAAACTGTTGGGCCATAATCTCTTCCCTATTACTATGTATGGGGCTTTGGACAATAAATTTAACTACTCTAAATCTTGATTGACTAATCTGTTTAAAACACTGTAGAGTGAAATTAGGACCTGAATAGACACGTCTCCAAAGAGGACATACAGATGTCCAAGAGATATATGAAAACAATGCTCAAAGTCAGAGAGAGGCAAATTAAAATGAGAATGAGCTATCACCTCCCACCTCCCAGAATGGCTATCATCAACAAATCAACAAATGATACCTGCTGGCAAGGATGTGAAGAAAAAGGAACCCTACTACACTGCAGGTGAGAATTCAGACTGGTGAAGCCACTGTGGAAAACAGCATGGGGAACCTCAAAAATTAAAAATGGAACTGCCATTTGACCCAGTGATCCCACTTCTAGGAATATATCCTACCAAACCTGAAACAACAATCAGAAAGAATATATGCATCCCTATGTTCATAGCAGTGCAATTTACAATAGCTAAGATCTAAAAACAGCCCAAGTGCCCATCAGTAGATGAGTGGATAAAAAAGCTGTGGCACATTTACACAATGGAACACTATGCAGATGCAAAAAAGATGGTTCTCTTGCCCTGGCCAGTGTTTCTTAGTAGTTAGAGCCTGCCAGAGCACTTAAGAGTCTTGGGTTTGATTCCTGGTCAAGGGCATGTACCCTTGGGTTCCAGGTTTGATACCCAGCCCTGTCAGGGCATGTGCGAGGGGCAACCAATTGATTTGTCTCACATTGATGTTTCTCTCTCTCACTCTCTCTCTCTCTCTCTCTCTCTCTCTCTCTCTCTCTCTCTCTTCGTGGCCCTCCCCTCCCCACTCCCCTTCCCTTTCACTCTCTCTAAGACAGCAACAGAAAAATATCCTGGGTGAGGGTTAACAAAAAACAAAAAACAAAAAAAGAAGAGGAGGAAGGATCTCTTACCCTTTGAGATAGCATGAAAGGACCTGGGGAGTATTATGTTAAATGCAATAAGCCAGTCAGAGAAAGACAAGAATCATATGATCTTACTCATATGTGTAATGGAAGGAACAAAATAAACTGATGGACAAAATAGATCCAGAGACATAGAAGCATGGAATATACTGAGGAATCTCAGAGGGAAGAATGTGTGAGGTGGGGAGTGGAGCAGGGTGGGAGGTGGCAGGGGTGAATGGGGAAAAAAAGGAGACACCTGTAAAACTTTCAATAATAAAGATAAATTAAAAATCGCTGTTATAATAACAATGGCAGCTGAATCCACTGATCCCATCCTTATTTAGCTTTATTAAAGAAGCAACATTGTTTTTGTTTTCTTTCATGTTTGATTTAGGCTAAAGACGCCATGAGTATATTTATCACTAGGGACTTCAGCTGACAGACAGGTGTGACAACAAAAATATGCAACCTGTGCTTTTGGAACAAAGCTTCTTAAACAGAATTGATTGTTTCCTTTTAGTAAACGTGGAGATTGGCATATCAGCATAACACTACTCTGCGTGGTTTAGGGTAGGAGAGACAATGGAGGGGATGAGTGTTTCCAGGAATGAGGGTAGAGACACTATATATTCATTTGTAACCAATGAGAATTAAGAGTAAAACAGCCAGGAGAAAGAGCAGCGATAATGAGGATCTATAGCAAGATTATAGAAAAATGGTGTAGAATTAATGCTGTATAAATATATACACATACATATATATGCACAGTGGGGCCTTGACTTACAAGTTTAATTCATTTCGTGACGGAGCTCATAACTCAAATTACTCATATGTCAAATCAAAAAGTGAATAAGTGAGACACGTGATCCTGGGCTGATGATGTGGCGTTCACTGTGACGTTCGCTGTGCCAACTAGCGGTGGGGTATCTGAAGCTGGCTTGTAACTCGAATTTTAGCTCGCAACGCAAAGCAAAATATCAGCGGAGAGATGGCTCGTATCTCGAAAAACTCGTTAGTCGGGACACTCGTAAGACAAGGTCCCACTGTACATCTATAATAATAAAAATGTAATATGCTAATTAGACCAAACAGCCAAACGACCTTCTGGATGTCATTCTGGACATCCTCCCAGACAAAACCACCGTGGAGGGGGCTGAGGCAGAGGCAGTTAGGCGCCATCAGGCAGACAGGCAGGCGAGCAGTTAGGGGCGATCAGGCAGACAGGCAGATTGGTTAGGGGCAATCAGGCAGGCAGAGTGGCTATGGGCATTGAGGCATGCAGGCGAGTGGTTAGGGGTGATCAGGCAGGCAGGTAGGTGAGCAGTTAGGAGCCAGTGGTCCCAGATTGCGAGGGGGATGTCCGACTGCCAGTTTAGGCCTGATCTGCAGGGATCCCAAGGGGTCCCAGATTGTGAGATGGTGCAGGCAAGCTGAGGAACCCCCCACCCCCGGTGCAAGAATTTTGTGCACCTGGCCTTTAATATATATATTCGATGTGTATACATATGTGTGTGTGTGTGGTGTGTGTGTGTATATTCTAATAACTAAATACTTAGGTGTAATAAAATTCTACAATATACTCATGTAAGTGAGAGAAGACTTCAGTCTCATGTTTCCTGGATAGTATAATTTAAAATTTAACTCAGTTCTAAGAAGCTTGTTTTTGGTCCTGACATTACTATTAATTATATAGTTTTCTATACATGGTTAATTGTGATTAAACACAAGTACCTTGACTGTTCAATTCTACTGTTAACTCAAGAAACTTGTACTAGGTAATATCAATTCATGCTAAATGCCTTGTTAAGTACTTTACATGCATTATCTCTCTTAATTCTGAACACAACCCATATCACATACATGCTTTAACCATTGTCATGTCATTGTTGAACAGACTGAGAGTGATGGAGCTGAATTACCCTTGCCTAAGGTCACTCTGCTGGTATGTAATCCAGAGATTTCTGACTGCCAAAGCCCATACCTTTAGCTATTCTACTATATTTCTTTAAGAGGCGTATTATTTCAGACATACTGCCGCTTTAACATTTACATATTCCATAAGGGTTTTTGTGACTGCTATTATAGTTATGTAGATGAAAAGAAAAAAAAGTTTCTGATGAAAACTGTTAAAGCACAAAATTCAACTGAGTAGATTTGAAGATCTAATTGGCTCTATTAAGCAATTCATGAATCTGGCAGCATCCCATCTTGCAACCAGAAGGGCTGTTCGAGGGGCTGTACCAAATGAAAGGTTTTTATGGAAAGGAGGGTAGCACAAGGGAGCTGTTAGCAAAAGAAAAGACAGGATTATTTTGAGGTCAGGACACCTTTTTTGAGGAGAAGGGAATGGCAAGGTTTTTATTATGCAGATTGCCTCTTCTTTCTCTGAGGGACCTACAGGGTCCATGTGACAGATTACTTCATTGGTGTTGACCAGAAAATACCAGACTGGTGGAATAAGATTACATTTCTGGTGACAGTTGGAACTGCTGTTGAGTCAGGGATTAAGTCTAGATTTGTTATCACAGGCTTTTAGCACCAGTGACTCCATATTGGGCCTGTGGCTTTTCTCTTTAATAAACATTTGAGCAAACCCCCTTGGCTGATATTAGTGAGCAAGGCCAGGTGAGACTTCATTCACGTGGTTGTCAGAAGTGACTGCAATTGAAATTTGATTCTCTATTTGGCAACATAGTCTATAATTTAAATATGGCTGGGGGAAAAAACTATTAAAAGGTAAATTGTTTACCCAGAAAACACAAAACCTGTTCCTTTTACTATTCCTCTTTCAGCAAACTGTCACACTAAACTTAACCATTCCTACAAAACATGCAACTAAACTTGTTTGAGCAAATTCAAACATTTGCACAAATAAATAGACATAGCAATGTGTCGTAAAATTTTGCCAATTTACAATGCCTATATTACTTCACAACAAGATATTTCTTTATTTAAGAGCTATTTTATTTCCTCTTTACAATTTTCAACATGCATTTCTCTTCCCCTTTAAAAACCAGTAATGTGTAGAGGAACGTGTCAGCTTAAGCACAGGTTGTAAGGGTCCCAATTTCCAGTGAGCATAAACTGCACCGATACAACTTTCTGTGGTTAAAAAAAAAAAATCCTCTCTAAAATTCCTTTTTGCATATGTTTGAATATTATTCACAATGGGAAATCTTTTCTATAGGAACACTTTAAAATACGATGGCTGACTGTTACCAGGTGAATGCTTCTTTTTAAACATAGCCTTTTATAATCACATATACTCTTTCTCCTTTTCCATGTCAGTCCAGTCATGGTAAAAATGAACAAAAATACAAAATTCAGTATAATTTTACCCTTCACATCAGCAAGGGAACAATGGCAAGTGGCTTTGAACTGTTCTTCCACCCAGCATTTCAGTTACTGTTGAGATGAATAGGTACAATAGGGGTTGAAATTTTCCGAGCCAGAGTGTAATGGTGCCCAGCGCTGCTCCTTTCTGAAAGAACCGTACACCTATGGACAAAGCCTTCTGTCTGTTACCATGGCCCTGAATAAAGTGGCTGATGAGCACGTGAGCCTGTTTCAAGTTGCAAAAAGGAAGAACTCACATTCCAGTTAACTGCACTGTCTCTTCCTGGTACGGATTATGCCGGCTGAGATAATCAATATCTTATCAGGCTGCCGAGAGCCCATTAGCATGTGGTTAACATGCTGGCGTTCACAGCAGTGTTCTTAAATGTGGGAGGTGGCCCTTCGGTATAACACACACTTTAATAGTTTGAGCTCAATAATCATAATTCCTGTTTAACACGGTATTAGATTGATGATTATAAGTGAGAAGATTGTTTTCATGATCTATGTAATCTACTCTATCAATAAAAATAGAACTGAAGGCTCTGGGCACAATTCATTTCTCACTTCCATTTACAAGTGGGCTCTAAATATAAGGAATCAGGCTGGCCCAATTAATCACAGCACTGAACAATGTGTCTACCTGAAAAGAATGTAAAATAACTGCTATACAAAAGTTTAATTTAAACCCTAGGGCCAAATTAAACAGCCTTTCAAATACAGAGATTATTGTCCATTAACAGCAAAACACTATTATGTATTTTTTAAAAAAAATTCCAATTTAGGAAATTATTTCCAGAAAAAAGGGAAATATAACAAATTTGCTAAACCATTTGGAGTGGTTTGAATCATATTGCTGTCACATGTTAGCATGAAGAAAATAATGACAAGAAGAAATAAAATCAGTCTACTAGGAAGCATTTAAGATCCCAGATTTTTCATTTGCATCCTCTGAGTGACAAAGACCAGGTTTTGCATCTGGTGTCTATGAACTAACTGCATTTGCCACTGTTGACTCCTTAAATGCAAAAACAGTTAAGTGAGTGAGCAGGATGCAATATTTCATGTACTGTTCCCACGTTGGGATTGTCATATTGCATCTGTGGGATTAAATCTTTTAAGGAGTTGTCAAATTTAATTGGCGAATTTGCACAGTTCTGGTTTGCTGGATACATCACACCACCAAGATCTTTTTCTTTTATCGCTTTCTGTTAACTCCATGATTTAAATATTGCCATCTGTGAATAAAGCCTGCAGAATTAAGCAAGCAGCTTTAGTAAATTAAAATCTTAACTGATGCATAATTTGAAGGTTTGAACATTGCTTATTTGATGTTTGGTACACTTACCTTTCTTTTCTCATGGCAGGTATCATATTTTGTACATGTTCAGTATAGTAGAATGTCTTATCAACATTTTGGTAAACTATTCAAAAAAAGAGCAACATCTTTAACATCACACAATGCTTTCAAGAATAAGGACAAATACTGAAAATGATTACTTCAAATGAAATCCAACTTTTCTCCCCATGTACAAAGTCTGTATTGTCTGAGACCTAACACTCCACTGGCATTGCACCTGCGAAGTTTGCTTTCACGGCCTCACACATCTTCATCTCTGTGGCTGCTCTTCAGCTCTTGGCTTACATTCAGCTTCCACAAGATGTACAGACAGCTTTCTCAACCATCCTAAGCTATCCCCCTCCAGTTGTTCTCAATTATCCCCCAAAGGTGTTCTCCTTCAACATTATTAAAAGTTATAATCCTATATTTAAAATTGTGTTTCTTTGTATATTACATGTTTACTCACAGAATGTGCATTTCACAAGGACAGGGACAATGGTTTTTTTTTGTTTGTTTGTTTATCCAGCATCTGGTAGAGTGCTGGCAAGCAGTAGTGGAGATGGAGTGATAGGGAGAGTACAGGAGAGTTAACTAATAATAATAATAATAATATTTATGATAGCTAGCATTTTCTGAGTTGATTTTTTTTATGCCAGGCACTGTGCAAGGGGATTTACATTATCTCAGTTAATTGTTAAGCAATCCTGGGAGGTAGATGCTACTATTATCTAAAGTTGCAGAGGGAGACTTGAGGCTTAGAGAGGTTAAGTAACTTATTCAGGGTCATAAAATTAATTATGTTAGCACCAGGATTTACACCCTGGCCATCCCACTCTGGAGCCCACATGGAAAAGCTTGCTGTATTAATGAGTGGATGTGCGAATAAAGGAGAAGAGGAAGGAAGGAAAGAAGGGAGAAAGGCAGGAGGGAATGATGAAGGAATGAAGGAAGGAAGGAAGGAAGGAAGGAAGGAAGGAATGAAGGAAGGAAGGAAGGAAAAGGAGGATGCTGCAATGTATAATACACTGAGCTTTTTTTTTTTTTCATGAATTCAGACCTTTAAATACCTAGCAACTTTAATAACCTAGCTTTTTAAACTCTGTGTTCTCAGAATGAGAGGTTAAAAGACACACCAAATAATGCTTTCAGGTGAATAGAATACACTAACATGTATAGCTATCCTGGTAACCATCATAACACTTGAGAATCAACATTGTGAGTGAAACACCTAACCATAGAGCAACTGTGGCTATTTCACTAAGCCCCATGAAAGGTAGAGCATTCCAGGCCTGACACAAGTTATACAATGGTAACAATGACTAATATTGAATTACTCTTCTATGTGTTTAGTGTTGCACTAAGCACCTTACATCAGCATTAACCCTCAGTTGTAGGAGATAAGCACAGACTCACAAGCACAGCAAACCTCGAACTCAGAATTCAGACCCAGACATTCTGATTCCAGAACTATACCCTCTTAGGAAAGGATCATCTCTGTGTAAAATTGGAAGTCATGGAAATAGGTGGGATTGTGAGAAATTGTTGTTTATTGGTAGACATTATGCATTGATTACCTCAATTAATCCTCACAGCAACTTGCATTTTTTGTATTTGACAAGTTCAGCCAATATATGGCAGAACTAGGATTTGTTCTTAGCCCTGTGTGTTTACAAAGCCACAAGTGGGTGGAGCTTAATGCATTCTGTAGTCTTTTCCAGATAGGAAAAGCAGCTGTTGCATGCTATAGTATTCGAAGTGCCCATTTGAATCATTTGAATGCTATTTCTGGTGTAACTTTGAATAGCTGAAACACCTTGCTTTACTCCTTTAAGAATGGTTATATTCTCTAGATACAGCATATATGCAAGTTCAGGAACTGCTATGAAATGATGGTGATGCCCTGCTATCTAGTGCCATCTGAAAGAGCAGGTTCTTCTCCTGAATTGGTAAATGGAATGTTAAAAGTAAAAAAAAATAGCTTTCCTTTGAATTTGCTGATTCAAAAATATATATAAGTATAATCATTATTTTAACAACTATCTATATATTGTTAATAAATAAATTACTATTTGAAATAAGACTTTTAAAAGATAGGATTTATAAGCACTGATCTATAAATGTGGAGATTCAGTAGAAATCTCCTCTATAATTAAAGTTCTATATTATTAAATGGATATGTTATACCTAAGTTAAATGAGTACTTGATTATTGAGCAACTCATATGATATTCACCACGAGGTGATTAAATAATTAGATCCCAAGCTATTACTATCGTGAGCTATTTGAAGATATTTAATGTTATGAAAATTGTGTTGTACTGGCTGATGTTGCAAGGTGGTTAGAGCATAAGCCTGCATACCAAAAGGTCATTGGTTCAATTCCTGGTCAAGGGCATGTACATGGGTTGCAGGTTCAATCCTCAGCCCCAGTTGGATCACATGCAGGAGGCAACCAATCAATGTGCCTCTCTCTCATTGATGTGTCTCTCTCTCTCTCTCTCTCTCTCTCTCTCTCTCTCTCTCTCTCTCTCTCTCTCTCTCTCTCTC